CGGGGGGGTAAAGACATAGCCCAGCTCCCGCCGGGCGCCCGCCGGGCCGCGGCTCCCGGCCGGTGGCGGCGGCGGCGGGGGGTGGTGGCGGGGGGCTGCCGGGGGCTCCCCGCAGCGCCGCGGCTCCCGCCGCCACTTGTACTCCAGCAGGTTGAGCGCGGCGAGCAGCAGCAGCAGCGCGTAGCCCAGGCACAGCGCCAGCGCCTTCCGCCGGCACACTTTCATGCTGGGCGGCGGCGGGGCCAACTGTTGCTCAGCGCCCCGGCGCCCCGGGGCCCGCGGCGGGCAGCAGGGCGCGCCGCCCCCGGCGCCGTCTCCCGGCCGGCCGCCCCGACAGAGCGCATCGCTCCCGCCCCGCCCCCGCCGCGCCGGGAGAGCTCCGGTGCCGCCGCCGCCACCGAGGGGCGGCCCCGATTGGCGACGCCCGCCCCGCGCTCGCCATTGGCGGCCCCGCCGCCCGGCCTCGGGATGCGGCGCCCCGCCCGCTCCGGCCGACCGCCCCCGGGGAGAGCCCGGGCTGATCGGCACCGATCCCGACCCCGGCCGGGCCCCGCACCGCCGGAGGCGGCGGGCGCTGCTGGGAGCCCCTCTCCGCTCTGCCGGGGCGCTGCCGCCAGCCCAGCCCGGCGGGAGGCTCCTCGCCGGGTACCCCTCGCACAGCGGAGCTGCGCCGGTAACGGGAAAACCAGAAGAGGGGGGAAAGATCCCTGAAAGGCCTGAGAGGATTCCGGGGCCAGCCCCGCCGCCCTTATCTTGGTTTGTGCAGAAACTCGGAGTTCTCAAAGGTTCTCCAAAACGTTTAAAAAAAACCCTCACACTGGATCTTCCTGGCAGAGCTCAGCACAAATCCCTCCGCCCGCAGTTCTTCACAGTGTTTTAATAGCCGGTGTCCGGTCACCGGGCGGCCCCTTCGGTGCTGGAGTGGCCGGAGCGCGGTGCTGGCCCGCGAGTGCCGGGGAGAGCCCAGCGCAGCCCCGCTCCTGCCCCGGCCCCGCGGGCACCGAGCCGGCAGCTGGCCGGCGATGGGCCCCGAGACTCCCTGCCCCAGGTGGGAGCGGAAACGAGCAGCGCTTTCTCCTGTGTCCTGGCGACACGGCGCTGTGCGAAGGGCAGTGGTGCGGCTCCAGGCAGCAGCGATGCTTTAAAGACGACCACATCCCCAAAAGGCGCCTGAAAAGTGCGCGGAGTGGTGGGTCCCGCGGGGACAGCGCACTTGTGGGGCACAGGCTCCCCCATGGGCTTCTGGCAAAGCTCAGTGACTCTTACAGAATTTTCTCAGCGGTTTCCTCCGCCCCCGACCGAGCTCGGAGCGCTCCGGGGCTGCTCACGAGTTACAGAAGCATTTCGCGGCTCTCTCCTGTGCTTTGCTTTCTGTACCCAGCAGCTCTCGCACTGGTGCCGCGTTTCCCAGCACGCACAGACACACACGGCCCATCTCCCCGGGCAGCTGGGAGCCTGGAGCGCTGGGGGCTGCCCCTGGCTCAGACCATCCACGACAGATGACAATGGGGAGATTTTGCTGGAAGGTTTATTAACAGCACGGATCTGACACTACAGCAAAAGCTTTTACACTCAGAGAGCAGACAAAGCACAAATTCACCCGCTGTGTGCCTTGCCTGGTAGCACGCTATTCAATAAATGCAAGAAAACAGCATAAGAGGGTGAAGGAAAATGTGTAAGCAATCTTCATATCGCTTATCAAAACATTTCAATACTCCTCCCACACTTTCTGCAGGGATGTTACCAGCCAAGGTCCCTTTCTGGAAAAACTTCTAAGCCCCTTGCAGCCTCAAAGGCAAGGGTAAGATCTGTAGCAGAGGGCTCCTCTGTCCGAGCCTTGCCAGGGCAGGGTGGCGGCGGGCTGGGAGCAGGGAGCGCCCCTGGTGTGCGACACGGCCATCAGAGCGCACCGGACTACTCAGCACCCGCCCGCAAGCTGCCAGTGATTCTGGCGGCAGCGTGCAAATGTCACTGTGACTTCTCGTACAGAAGTGATTTGTTAATAGCAGACTTTAAATGACCATTAAATATTCAAGAAGTCTCTATTTCATCAAAGTGAGGGGGAAGGGGAAGCCATTTTTTTACCCTACGTTGCTCCAGAGGAAATCTTTAAAACCACATTGTGTACAAATTATTTGTATCTATTTGTATCTAGTTGCAAAAGAAATGTGCAGTTTAAATGAGCTTAAAACAATTGACTTGTAACTCTTGAAACATAGTATATAACAGAAAATAAACCTCTGGAGTATCGTGTAGCATAAAATTCTTGCCGTTATTATATTCTTTAGGTTTAATCCATGTGTTCTTCACATAAAACAAGACTTTTGCTTTTTTATATATTTTTCGTTCTGGAATGGTCTGTAGTAGCATCAATTAGCCTATATTAGATGATGAATGACAACGGCAGTACTGAGTCGCTGGAGTTCATAAAGCAATATCTCCCACCACTATTGTTCTGCAGCACTAATGCAATAAAGGACAGAGACTACAGGGAGCAAAACCAATTCATAGCAGTGAAAAATCATTACAATACCATGAAGTTAAATTAATTCCTTCTTTCCATTTCACTTGGTTGAAGAGAGATATGAAATTTTCTGAAAAAAAAACCACAATGCCAGCTCCAGTTCTTACAGCATTTAAAATTTAGCAAGTAACAAAGATAAGCAAACATGAACTGCAGGTATAACATCTGAAATGGTAAAACTAATCAGTAAACCCAAACATGAAAAGTTGTAATTGGATCCTGCACCTTCCCCGCTGCTACACAGTGGTTACGTCTCTCTGAATCAGCGAGTGAAAGCAACACTGCCTTCATCAAACTGCTCCAACTCAACGAGGAAAACACGAGGCCAGCAGCTCTTTAATTCAACCTACATGCGGCTAAACAGAATCTTACTTTTCAAAACTGGAGCAATGTAGGTGTTTATGCTGTGCAGGTGCATCCAAGTACCCACGCACAACACAACTGCAATCAGTCGTGCTCAGTGCAGCTGCTTTATCTGATCTTCCCAGAAGTTCAGACCTGGCAGTCAAGTAGCACTTTGAAGAACTCAATATCAATGAATATTGAATAAGTTTATATGGAAGAGATTTATACAGCCAACTTTCAATTCACAAGTTTGGAGATTTGGTTGGTTGGTTTTTTAAAATCATTTATACATCTGTTGCAAAGCATTAGAAACATATATGGCAAAGAAACACAAAAGTATAAAAAAATTTTAAGAGGCACAGAAAGTGTGTGAAAGAGGAACATTCTGCAGCTGAACAAATACAGCTCTTCACAAATATATTCAGGTATTTCAGTGTACATTTTCCACCCTCTATTTTATTTCATATCAATCTATTTTATGATCACAAATTTCAGTATACTAGATCCCCCATGTCAAATAATAAAAAGTTTCCTTTCTTCAAAAAGCAAAATTCATCATTCAAAAACTAAAAATCAAAGCCCCAACACTTCTTTCCAGGCCAGCTTTACTTTTTGACAATTACATGTAGTTTGCTTTGAGGAGCAGAAGAGAATTCTCCTTTTCCAGTGCAGATTGTTACACACTACAAAACTCAGATAGAAGTCGGGTGGCTGTATTTCCCTCAAACTCTGCAGCCAGCAATGTGTAAAGTGAGGGATAAGTACCTGCAATTAAAATGCCCCAATTTAAAATATGAGAGGAAAACATTTTTTTTTCATTCAATGCTTAGATATTTTATGTTACAGTTTAGTATTTTATATTTAGTAACTATGTTTATGAATCTTACATGTAATATTTAGGCAACCCAAATCCTGACTAGCTGAATTTCTTCCTCCCTCCAAGTGATACTGCCTCAGTCAGAATTCTCCAAGCAGATCCCCTCCACGACACCCCATTTAGGCAATGGGGCTGAAAAAGGTTTCATCCTTATTGAAACACATTCCAGCTTTCTATTTTTTCATGCTTTAAGATTTGCCTTTCTCATGTTCACAAGCATGCGATGAGCACAAGGAGAAGTTTTTCCTGAAGTCAGACTTGAGCAAGATTTTATCTTTTAAAAGAAATTGAAAGACGGAGATTTATGCTGTTGTAAACCTAGTGTGAGATCAGTTCTGGGTGCTGATTAAATAGTCCTGTATCTAGCCTAATCAGGATAAACAGAGATCCTGAATTCCTCAAACATTGCCCAAAAGTGAGATTCTTAAAACTAAAGCACAAATTATAGACCACAAAATGTGAACAAAATTTATATAAAATTGAGTAGGTCTCAAAACTTGGGAAACCTATGAATTTGTTTAAGACTGTATTTTAGTCTCACCACTGGAGATGGGTGAGAAGAATCTCTACAGCATCATTTAGAATTGCAGGTGTTTATATTTTGCACCCTTCCTTCTAGTATGTGCATGATGTCTTAACAGCATACTCAACATGTCATGCAGCAGTGGCAGCTGATTTCCCCCAAAATACACTTTTTTCCAGTAATGTTGAATCCTTCAACAGCCATTCCATTAAGTGATGGCTGCCACAATCTGCCTCCTAAAGTATCCATTTTCCCTTGGATGTTCCTTCCGAACCATGTGTGCAGAAGCAGCTGGCAGGGACCAAAATCTAAACCAGAAACACAAAACCAAGCGGACAACTTGTCTGTAACAAGCTGTTCCCTGCCACCCCAGTTTCTCTTTCATGTTCACTTCCAGTTGCACAGGTGATATTTTCAATAAACTGCACTTCAATAAATATTTATAAATTTCTGTTTGTGCAGCTGAAGGAATTCCAGAACTTTGCAAATGTCCTGGGGACACTGCAGTGTAGATTAGTCTCTACTTGACTTTTATTAAAATTAGAAATCTTTTTTCGGCTGTTGTGTAACTGGTTCAAGTTCTAAAGGGAAGATAACCTGAAAAGCCAAGGAAAAAAAAAATCACCAGCAATGCAAGAGATGTAGATTTCACGGTGAAAATGCCCAGTATCAGCTGCAGTGCAAACCTCTACACCACAACAAGTTCAGAAGATTCACCTCTATCCTCCTAGTTTCCATTTGCAGCAATGTGGTCAGTGTTTGCTCTAGCAGAATCCAGCAGGTAAACACATTTGGCTAAATCATTCCTGAAACACCAGAGCTGTACCTCTTTAGCATGGCTCAAAAAATATGAAAACTGGTTTCTACTCCCAGTGATGGCTTTGGTGATGGTTCTGATTGCTGGTAATGATCCTGGAAGTTCAGTCCTGGGCACAGGCTGCTCCATCTTCCACAAATCCAAACTGTATGCATCAATTCCACCCTCCTCTTCCCACGCCAGCTAAATTTTAAAACAAGAACAATTTGTCATACAGAATTAAGAAATTCTGCCAGGTTAA